AATTAATTTGTAAAGATAACTTACAAACCTACTTAAAAAAAAAATTTTTTTTTTTTCATTTTTATACTGGGTATGCAATACTTCATTGGATTACAGTTCTTTCCCTCATTAAAGCCTTTAAGTACAAAGCCCTGTACCTTTGTCTTTTTGTCCGCTTCTCAAATCCTGTTCTGCTTCAAATCAAAGTTTGTAATGCTGTTGTTCACCTCGTTTGTTTGATTCATGGCAAGAGGGAAAATGAAAGAGGGGGAAAACAATTCCTTAACAATGGCTGCTGAAAAAGTGGGCGGGAACTATTGACTTTGGCATTCTGAACATGAGAAGTGGAAAGGGTCTGTCTGTATGCATGCATGTATTCTTATGTTTAAAGACTTTCGGAGCAGTAATGCAATGCAAACTGATGACAAGACCAGAAAGGATGGTGGAAAGATAAGAACACTATGATGATAGGCATTAAAATAGCTACAGCTGATAAGATTTGAATGTTTTATGGCGTTACTTAAGACTGTGTGGAGAAGACTGATTAAGTTAGTTTGAAATTATATGCATTAGTAAAGAGAATATATCAACACAGTGCAAGTCAGAACTGGAATGGGGCATATTAAACATTAGGCAGAATATGAATTCAACACAAATGTGTAAACATGGCAATGGCACTACTATCCAGATTCAGTGCAGATGAAGGAAATGCAGAGAATGTCTTGGACAGAAACCTTACAAGTGCTTAAGAAATATCCCAGAAAACACATCAAAACGACGCCTTTTACAGCTTTAGATAACGAAAGTGTCCGCTGAGCGTCAATCTGATGCTACGATAATAACATTCATCTCATTTTAGGACCGTCAACTTACATTAACCGCGAAACTGTGTAAACACTTTATTTAGGTGAATCACGTAAGATTAAATCCCAAGCAAAGATCCGCTTTAAACACAACACATGGACGAATTAGGATGATAAAAACTAAAAATTGAAGGAAAAAACAAACAAAAAAAGAGGCCGCGGGTCTAAATGTGCACGACAAGGCCTAACGTTACACCGCAACCTTTAAACGTGTAACTCTGCAGTTCGGGTTTATTATAGTCTATACTTAAAACATAAATCGTATAACATCTTATCTGTCATTCGAATGCACTGTGTTGCTACTTACATGTCTTTCCTTTTCCCAACCTTTGGGTTGAAGTCCTTTACGTCGTACGAAGTGAAACGCTATCAACGGCTAGGGCAACTGCGCACAACGTGAAGGCGGAAGTGAGTGACTACGAAAGAGTTCCTCACTTCCGATGTGAATTGCAAAATAAAAGTCCTAGCTGGTTTTCGTCAAAACCGTTTTTATACAGTCTATGGTCAAAACTAATACCAAAGCCACTCTTCTCATTTATATTGCTATCATTTATTATATTATAATACTAAAATCCCCTTAATTGTTTTTACTGTTGAACAATGAAACTCTGGATGTCACTGCCATGATGTAATCAGAATATTCAGAGACTGGTACAAAAGAAGCAAAGCAGTCAGTTTATATCATCAGCTTGACCTGACTGAAGCATCTACACAGCATGTGTGCTTTATACTAATAGCTTTTAGAAAAGAATCTTCTTTGAAGGACAGTCAAAATAGCAACGTCCTACATTCTAGATGTTTCTGTAATATTCTAGTGGAACATTCCAGAACACAAAAAGTAATGTGATTTTCATATTCAGCATGTCAAACTTCATACAGAAAATGAAAATGAAACAAAACTCATTGTTCAGAGTAATCATGCTGAGAAATAGAGACAATTCAGTCATTGCTTGACTAACACACCCTAATACAGTTAGTTTATTGCTTGTAATGTGTTTTTAATACTGGCTGTTTGCTTTTGAAGTTATGTTTAGTTGAAAATTAAAAACATTAACTACATACAATTGAAACAAATGTATTGTTATTTGTAAAAAAAAATAAAAAGTACCCTTAAAGGGATAGTTCACCCAAAAATAAAAAAAAATGTGATGTTTATCTGCTTACCCCCAGGGCATCCAAGATGTAGGTGGCTTTGTTTCTTCAGTAGAACACAAATTATGATTTTTAAGTCCAGCCGTTGCAGTCTATCAGTCGTATAATTATAGGTAAAAAATGATATAAATACTGTTCGGTTTCTCGCACAAACCGATCGTTTCGTGTCTTAGGACATCAATGTGTCGTCACGAGCCGCAGGGTTTAATTTGGATTTGTCTGTGCATGTTTTTTTTACTCTCATAGATTTTGTTACCATTGCCATGCATTATACGACTGATAGACTGCAACGGCTGGAGTTAAAATTCATAATTTGTGTTCTACTGAAGAAACAAAGCCACCTACATCTTGGATGCCCTGGGGTAAGCAGATAAACATCACATTTTCATTTTTGGGTGAACTATCCCTTTAATTAAACAAAATAAGTAATTAAATACAATTTTGTATAAATAAATTATTAAATAGTGACTGTTTAAGATGTGTCCAAGGATTAATGGACTTTAGTCATTGATTTAGCTGATGTTTAATTCTCACAGCATTTTATTTTAACACACGTTTTATTTCAAAATCACCAGACCATGACTGAATAAAAGACCAATGTTTTCAGAAATCGTATGTGAATGTGTTTTCTTGTTCTGAAATGATGCTGTCTTTCCACCCTTCAGTTTATCGATTATCACCATCTCCATCATAAACCCATTCATATATCCCATCCTCTTCTGCACAAGACTCATGGTAGCAGGCCTTACAGTTGCTGCATCTGATCCACGCTTCAGCAGCTTTCAGATCACCGTCTGAGCCGTGGTTTATGAAGCAGCCCCTGCACTTGTAGGAGGTGGCTGCTTTATTCTGTTCATTTCTTTGTTTTAAATGTTCATCATAAAGAAGGTATTCAGAGTTTCTTTGTAAATATGGTACTGTCTTGGCTCTGGGTGTGTGACTTTTTTGTATGACCACAAAGTCTGTGAATGATGCCACTTCATCAGAGCCGCTCTCAGTGCTGCAGTGTGCGGTGTCTTCGGCGCATAGCGTGGTGCTTTCATGCCCAATGGAGGTAAACTTGTTTATCGGGAGCATCCCTGTTGTTCTGAACACATCTTTGGCTCGTTCCACAGTGGCAGTTTTCTTCCACGCTTCCATGAAAACAGAGCAATAATGTGCTTTGGGCAACTTCATTCCTGCACACTGCTGATTCCACTTGCGACTCGCTTCGCACCAGTTGTGTTTGAGGCTCCCAAACAGAGCCGTGTTGGCCGGCTGCGGCGCAGGAAAGCATATGACTTCCACGTCGTTCTGCTTCATGAGACTGAGGAAGCTGAGGTTGAAGACGTGGCTGCTTTGGCCATCGAGGAGCAGAAGGTGGGGCCTGGAGTCATCTTTTGGAAGCTGTGCCACAAACATTTCCCCCCACTCAAGGAACAGCTCTGCTGTTATCCAGCCATTATCCGACGCTCTCACACACAGGTTTTTATTCATCCACTCATTTCTCGCATTAATTCCTTTGAAAATGAGAAGCGGAGGAGCAAATGCACCACTGGCATTGAATGCTGCTAGTATAGTTGAGGCCGTTTCCTCCTCGGTTGTGATCTGAAAGCAGGGATCTTCTCCTTCCCCGACGGGCCAGGGGTAATGGGTGAGACAGCTAAACTCTCTCTAGGGGTCCTGTGTGCTCACTCATACACAGGAGTCAGGACACATCAGCCACGGAGACAGCGCTGACAGAGGACAAACAGGAAGTGGAGAGCAGAGGGAAACGTGAACATCAGGCTCTAAATCCATAAAGCCAATAGAGAACTACTGCTTTTTACAGTAACTTCTTTACTGATCTGAAAACTGTACATTTAAACCAGTGCCATGCTAAGAATCCTGTATAACATGCTCATAACTAAACTTTTGATATATATACAGTATATATATATATATATATATATATATATATAGTTATATATATAATGTACATAATTAATTATATAATATATAATGTTATATTCGAATTGATCTTCATAACTTCTAACTCAAAGTAGGCAAATCTTCAGACAGTAGAATAGAAACATTTGACATTACATTAGCATCCAGTTTAGCACAGCTACAATGGGATTATTAGAAAACATCAGGCTTCTGACATGTTTCATGACATGATAGCTCATATAAAATGATGAATAATCATACTTCATCGGAATAGTGTAGTGTCCCACATTAACAGATAGCTACTGTCCCACTTTACCTAACACGTTTAGCTAAGCTAAGTGGGTCATTACTTTAAATATCCTTACAAATAAACACACGCAATTTTGCATTTTGGGGGGGCAATTGCAGATTAAATTATTATTTTAAAGCAGAATGATTTTTTTTAAATGGTTATTATTTTCATTTAAAGGGAGTATTTGTCAGCGCACTTACCATGTGCTTGTTGTGATCGGTTGTGTTGAAGCTTGACCACGCCCACCACAGTGATGTCAGGCAAATGAGAACGGTGTGATATAGTAATTATTCATGACTGTTACAATATGATTGGCTCTTGATATTTAAAGGGCACTCCAGCGTGACAGTGAATTTGACCCACTTTATCTGATGTCCCACTTTTTCGGACATAACTCTAAATATAGTTCTGAAATGCAAAGATCTGGTTTCCTGCGGTAACTGCAAACTGGTTTGCATTAAAGACAGGTTATGAAATATACCCTTATTAACAAGCATTCAATATTAGAGGATAGAAAGGCCATGCAGAAGGTTTCTAAATGGCACAATCAATATACAGGCCCTGACATTTCTTATTTACATAGCATTTAGCAGACACTTTTTATTCAAAGCATCTTACACTGCATTTCAACAGTCCCATTACAACAACCTGGGATAAGTGTGTCGTTACACACACACACACACACACATTGCAGTTATGTGTATATATAAATTATAATATAATAAATAATTTATTAAATTTTTTGCATTTTTATGTCATTTTTTATGTATTTTTATATTTATGATTTCTTTATTCATCCACTCATTTCTCGCATTAATTCCTTTGAAAATGAGAAGCGGAGGAGCAAATGCACCACTGGCATTGAATGCTGCTAGTATAGTTGAGGCCGTTTCCTCCTCGGTTGTGATCTGAAAGCAGGGATCTTCTCCTTCCCCGACAGATTGTTGAGAGGAGAACTTGTCTTGTAGTCCTGATACATCACACTTCCAAATATGTGAAGGGACGTCTTTAATTCCCAAGGCATCAAGGGTGTTTTCATACATCATGAACCATTTTCCCAGCTCTTCTTCATTCATCCTTGTAGCTGGTGATGTGGTCTCAGGTTTCTTTATTTGCAGCCCGGGGTTTCGCTTCATAAAGCCCTCGAACCAGTAATAGCCTGCCTTTTGCTTCTCTTCTGAAAACCCTCGGATGCCATTTATCTTGGCAAACTCAAAAGCAAGAGACTGAACATCAGTCTTCCTCAAGGAGAAGCCTCTCTCTGAAAGCAAGGTGAGAAGGCGCGCTAACTCCCGCTCAGATTCAACAGGGATGAATGGCTTTCTTCCAGACGCATGCTCGGATCCCTCGACGAGCCCTTTCACGCGTCTCTGAAGGGTCGTTTTTGGCACGTTCCACTTCCTTGCCAGCAATCGTAGCGCAGGCTTCTGCCCCGACTCAGCCTGTGCTTTATACTCGTCTATTGCAGCTTTCATACGCTCCTCACTCCACTGATTCATCTTCAGCCCTTTTCTTCTTTTAAACTCGCTTTGCATTTCCATATTTCCTTGAAAAGATAAAAGTCAGAATGTTGTTGAATTAGGCCTAATATTCTGGCATCCAACTCAACTAATATTATATAATTTTGCACAAATATACCTTCTAGACTGAACTAGAAATCAGTTATTTATTAGTAAGTTATAATTTGCTATATACACTGCCGTTTAAAAGTTTGGGATCAGTACGATTTTTGATGATTTTTAAAGAAGTCTCTCATGCTCACCAAGGCTGTATTTATTTGATCAAAAATACAGAAAAAACAGTAATATTGTAAATTATTATTACAATTTTAAATAACTGTTCACTAGTTTAAATTGCTGTAAAATATAATTTATTCTGTGATGCAAAGCTGAACTTTTATCAGATGTTACTCCAGTCTTCAATGTCACATGATCCTTCAGAAATCATTCTAATATGCTGATTTATTATCAGTGTTGGCAACTGTTGTGCTGCTTAATATGTTTTGGAACCTGTGATACTTTTTCCAGGATTCTTTGATGAATGAATAAAAACATTTTATCAACTTAACACATTCTTGGTGAATAAAAATATTTTCTTTAAAAAAATACTGCCCCAAAACTTTTGAACGGTTGTG